AGAATTAGGTTACATGAAGATATTGAAACTGACTTTTTCATCAGAAGCATCGATATACCTCGAGTGTGTTAGTGATCAGACGCTGCATCGTTAAAACACCAAAGACAGTAAGAAATAAACAACTATCCAGTCGATTGGTTTAACTCGACCGGTTTTGTGTAAGTATTTGACTAGTTGTTATTTATTGAGGCGATAATGGAACTAAAAGCCTGATCGCGTCTCATCGGCAACTCATCAACTATAATTTAAGTCATTATAGAGTTGCATATTATTTTTGCGTTAGACGCCTGTTCTTTAGACTTCCTATATCAAGTCAGAAGTTAAGACTTCTACTGCTCTTGGGGCATAGGCTCCTGTTCAGGAGTGTCCTGGCAACTCCAATTTCCTCTCCAAAACAATAAAAATTCGGGAAGACAGGGATACATACCTTTTCCACATCGTTGTCTCTCCCTGTGATAGTAAAAATGAAGATTTATTTAAAATGATAGTGGCTAAACTAGACACTGGATCGAAGGTTTACGATTACCTTTGGAAGCTGAAGTCAAATAAACATAAAAAGCGTAGCAATTTCATCTTGCTGAAAATGTTTAATATAATCAGTTTGTACAAAGCTCTCGGTGTTTCTAGAAAACTGTATGATTAACAGTCATGAGATTTCAGTATTCGTTATAGTTATCTACAAATACCCAGGGAATATGACGATATCTTGTTTATTCGGACAAAGTAAATGTCACACATAAAAAGTTAGACCTGGTTTCAGAAATTAAAAGTCAGTCCGATCGCAATATACCTGTATGTAGGATACAGCGACCTAATGAGTGTGAAACATGTACAAATTTCGCGTTCAAATGCTTTGGAGACAAAACGAACCTATATAAGTCACGTTCATTGTTACTGACATGTCAAAACATAATATGTGCTTATTCGTATTGTGAATGGAATAATGCCAATTTTTTGTTATGAAAGGTGGGAAAAACGTTGTATATAATGTTACTCATACTGATCAACATCATACAAAAGGACATTTCAACATTTATGTATACCCACCCGTCCCAATAGACCCTTCATGGAAAACTTACTCTTACGTATTCCACTGAAAAGAAGGAAAGGTGATATGATGGGATTAAAAAGCTAAATTACACTCTTTTTTTTCATTTTGGTTATTGTTCAACATTGCTTCTATGATAATTACTCAGTGTAGTATTTTTGTTTTTCTGTATGGTATTTTATTCTGTATAACATTAATTTGAGTGTGGTGTTTGTTCAAGATACGATACTCTTGCATTAAATTAACATGAACTGTGATCAGCATGACATGTAGCATGTGATTTGTTATATCTGTCAGTATTTTTAATCTATGTGATTTCATCCTAATTAATAATGAAAATGGGTTTAGCATCAATATATAAGCGAGTGCATTTCCTACTAGGATCGTCGTCGTGTTTTGGGGTTAATAAATCTCCACTTGTATCCGTCTTAATGTTCTTACTCCACGTTGTAGGAATTGTAGTGGTTCCTCGTTTCACAAGTTTAAGTAATAAGCGACTCTGACATAACAATCAGCAACGACCAGTCATGACACATCTAACTGTTTTCTGTCGGCCTATTGTATAACAAAAGACATGTCTACTTACGATAACTAACGAAGAACCAGTTCGATTAATATAGTGTCAAAAATACTAACCTTTATAACTATCCGACTCTTAACTGGAGTGCATCAAGAGTAGACTCGAGAAGCCTAGTTTGGTTTCGTGAATGAAAATGGGTTCGCATACCAAACATGTACCCTTCGTCGGCTTTTGGTAAAAAAAAGTACCCTTCACAATGCCCCAGTATAGTTTCATCCTCCTCACTAAGACTGCATTTGCTTTTATAAACCGAAAGTTTCTTTTTCAGTATGTCATTGAGAGATGTACCAAAGAAGTGCATCAATTTCGTACAAGCTCTCCGCTCAGACACTACTGATCGAGTCAGAGCTTATGGGGAAGTGTCATCAGAATCGTCAACCTCAGGTTGCGTTCGTCAGAGCTACCTACCATTCCGTTCTCATTTAACCTCGTCATAGACAATACGCCCTTATCTTCTTTGGGGTTGACCTCATACAAGGAAATTTACTTTCTGACTTCTATATTTCCCTGCAAGTTTTTTGCTTGTGTGACATAGTTCTTCCGTACTTTTTTCTCTTGAAGCTTACTTTGCTGTAGTTGCCAGGTCTTTTGTACATTTCCGCTTGTCAGCTCGGGTACTCTTCTTCACTCGTTTGTTTGCTACAGCATATTTGGCCTGTGTCTTGGCCTTCTCTTTTGTTGTTGGCTGCTGTCTTCTTGTTTCTCCTTTCTTGAATCCTGGTCAGGCTGCTTACTGAGACCCTTTCTTTATCCTGCTGCTTCTTGAGACCCAGCATCTCTTGGTATGTCGAAGTTATTGCTTCTTTAATCCATTTCCAATTGTTCCCCATAGTGGTTTGCTCTTCTAATAGATCTTGTAAGGCTTAGAACTTTTTTCTGAGATCTATCTTGAACTCAATGAGCTTGTTAGCATCTCCAAGGAAGGCTGTACCAAACTTTTGTGGTTTCGCTTGTCCAATGTGTTTTTAGCTTCAGCTTGCTTGGTCACCACTAGGCGGTAATCTGAAGCTATGTCAGCTTCTCTCTTTGTTCTTACGCTTCCAGTGGATCTCCCGAATGCTTTATGTGTGTATCTGAGCCTAATCTGGTTTTCCGTAGTGTGCTTTGATGAGAACTATGTAGGTTTATGGATCCATTTGTGGGGAAAATCACTACTACCTCTGATCACGTTGTTGAAAGCACACAGATCTACCAGTCCCTCGCCATTCTCGTTCCATTCTTCTCCTTCATGTCGCCATTGGGTTTGTTCTCAATCGGTGTTGCAGGTCCCGACCGTAGCTTTTAGGTCCTCCATAAGGATGGTTAGGTGTGTTCCTGGGCATCTATCTAGGGTGAACTGCAGCCTCGCACTAAACTGGTTTTTATCATGTTCTCTGCCATCATTTGTAAGCGCATAGCACCAATAGAATTCACTGCAACCCTTTACTTCTCTGTTTCAAGGATGACTCGATGATCCTGGAACCGTAGGTTTCCCATCCCGTAAGCGCTTCTCGTCCTTCTTTTGACAGCACCAGTACAACTTGAGCATTTAGGGCATTTTCTTCTTCATGACCAGAATACAACAACATCTTCCTTGGCGCCATTCTTTTTGTTCAGATTGTGTCTGATGGATTTCAGTTATTCCAAAGACGGTCAAGTTGTACCTTGCCATTTCCGCCACTATTTAAATGACTATCTCAGTCCACCACATCGTCAGGACATTTCACGTGCCTATTTTAATTGTTGCTCTGCTTTTCATAAGAGTTATCGACCTCGTGATTTCCGAAGAATCTCGGCTTCCACCATGAATCATCATCTTCTATATGGAGACCCCTTAACTATCAATGCAAAGTTTAAATGGTTTAAATGATCTTTTCCGGTGAGGTCCTTTCTACAACGTGAAGTTAGTAACCTTTTTCTCTCATCTGGGCTTAGGATGAGCAGTGAACATAGAGAGGGTACTGGCGGGTTCGGAGACATTATTATTATTAGTATGATACAACACGACCTTTATCCGATAGAGTTTCAGTTCAAACTCGCTTCTGCCAACTCTTTGGTTGACGAGGTGATGACAGTAGCTGTCAAACCACTACAGCCGCTTGTTACAGTTTGATTAATTCCGCAATTTATTTCCTATCCGCTTCAAGGGTCTTTTCCCAATTTCCTCTTTAACTGGAAGCTGGTTTGTTTTCTTCCACAGTCGGCTGTTACTGATTGTTTCCGGTCAACGGACATTGAGCATCTTGCACAGACAATTGTTTAGAAACACGTACTTTTTTGTACTACACTTACAACGTACAATTTAAATTTAATGATAATTTATATAGACAGATCTATGGTGTTTAAATAGTACAAAGGAAACTAGGTTGGAGAGTTTAGCGAATACAAACATCCTCAGTCGACAAGCGTACAACAGTTAGTGTTTCATTTTATACTGTTCTTAAGTGCTTGAATTTCCTATAACTTTTTAATTTTCACTAACTTATATTACCACTAATACTTTTACTACCTCCATTAATCTATGAACGTTATGGATGCTAGGTCTACAGAAACTACTTGATCAACATCTTATGTTATCAATTTGAGTTCTAAAATATGAATTGCTCGTTTTCATGCAAAGAGCACCCATTCTCAAATTTATAATATATATCCCACTTGACACGACCTTAAACCGGGTCTTCCCCCTCTAGTTAGCAGAGTTGGGACGAATCGGAATAGTTTATCTTATCTTGTCATTGTGTCACTGATCGTTCGTTCCGTTCGCTGATTTTAGGCGATCTCTTAATCACTTCAAATATAGCAGGGATTTGACATGACAATTTCATCTCTGTGCTAATGGCCTATAGCAACTTGAACCGATGGACGTACGTATAGGGTTCCACGTTGCGACTGACTGATGTGAAGTGTGACGACTTGTACTGATTGACACGTACCAAGTCGTAAGTTAATGACGACTGACTTACCTGGTCGGACGACTTAATCCGGACTTTCAGCCGATATTTGTATGCTTGAACCCTATGTTACATCAATTTAAGGTAACTGATATGTTTCACTCACATTAAGTGTGACTCAGAGCGTGTTTATGAATTGGTACTTTGTCACTGAGTCGCATCTACGATGATATTTTGACTATGCGCCAGTGAAAATGTTGCGACTTAATCTAGATCAGTGTTCAGCTATTTGTTCATTTCAAGATACACAGGATACTTAGTACTTGATTCAAATATGGACAAAATCTATACTATATTTGTATTTGGTATTTGTGAGGACGTGTTTGCGTCAATGAAGGTGTTAATTGATTTTTATTCAATAAAAATAGTTCTCATTATCATTGTATGGTATCCAAGACTAATAAACAGAACTCTTTCTGTACTTGCAGATTAGATTTTGAATATGTCTGAAAAGAAACGAAAGCAGCGGTTAGCTGGTGATAAACTCAATGAAAACCCACTGAAGCCTACGCTAGAAGAAATCGATGTTGCGAATTACTTACATAAAAAGCTACCATCTAAAGAAGGGCGTCTCTCGGGAATGGTTGTTCGCATATTTGTAGCAATGGAAGCCATAGAGTTACTGATGAATTCCCATTGGGCTAAATCAAATGACGATGCGAAACCAACTCTTTTTACAAGTCAAACTACAGCAGTTAATTTCATGACAACTTTGTTTCAGAAGCAAATGTTTCAGCGGTATCTAAACACGTGAACTGTTCATAATCTTTATTTTAGTGCAGTTCGTGTCAAGAAAAAGTCCACTAAACATCGAGAAGATGCTAAATCACTGAAGCCCAAACTGAAAAAGCTTACTGATGGAAAGGTTGTCACCAGTAAAAATGTTGTCGATGCGACTTCAGATGAAAATGTAGGTACTTGAATTTACTTAAAATTTCTATGTATAGTTCATAGCCAGGTACAGTGGTGGGAATACATCCATTCATCATATGTCTTTTCCATTTTAAGGGTCATGTTATTCTAAAACCCTTATTTCCAATCCTTGTTTTATGCACTAACTAGTGTTGTCATCATCTTTCTGTTTGTCGATTTCTCTCGGTACTTACATGAACTTTAGTGATGCGAACCGGCACATATCTTAGATGAGCCCTACGCTTTATATCCAACTGTCTGTTATTGAAATAAGTCAGCACAGCATCATCACCACGTACACAAAATTTACACTTCTTTTTATCAATTACATCCTATATCAGCTATGCTGGCGTATTTTAAGCTTTAGTGGCCATATCTTGTTTGTGATTGCGTGTGGGAATGCATTAATCAGGCATATAATTTCTAATTTATTCAAATACCTGTTGCTACTTATATAGTTGAAAAGTGAACAATACTGACTACGTTCTAGAGATCACAGTATAGCATTCGAGACAGTAGTATAATTGTTCGAATTGCCACACTTTCTACAAATTGTATCTGTAGGTAGAATCAATCAAAATAATGATAACATCATCAGTGAAGATGAAGACAGATAGTTTGTACGGAAGATAAACATATGTCAAGTGAAATTATTCCCATTTATAGCTAATCAAGAAATGCATCTACGCCATTTTGGCAAATTTCAAAATAATTCGTATTAAGTGTCAACTCCTCAACTTTGTTTACTTCATGAATCTCAGGTGAGTGGGTGAGACAAATATAATAAAAGTACCGAAATGATATAAGCTTATTGATTTTAAGGTTGTTCATGTGTATGATAGGCGCTTCCTAAAGGAAAATAATTTATGTAAATCTCAACCACTTTATCCAGATTTATAAACTGTAAAATTCTATGGAAGGTTACAACAATCCAGTTACCAAATCTTCCGTAAATGAATGTTGTGCTTTGATCTTGTCATCCTGGTATTTCCATTTTACACTTACCTCCAACTGGCACAGCGAGTTAAGCTAAACAGTTACTAAGTGTACATTGACATGTACAATACACTACTAAATGCAAGCACATAATCTCAGTTCATTTATCTAGTATTTTGTGTATTGAAAATTTGTATTTCCAGGATGTTTGATAATATCAAGTGATTAAATTACTATTAGAAATTTTATATGCAATTGTCAAATAAAGTATTTTCTTATGTTTCCCTTTCAATAATAGTTGAGTTCTCAAGATCATGATTCTAAATCGCCCAAATTTGGCATTTTCTCATCCATCTCTTCCAGTATTAACGAATTCACAATGAAATCTCCTAATAAGAAACCCATGCGACTAGAAATTGTGGACGAGCAAAAATTTGTACTGGATGATCCACACACATTTTATGTTTGGATATATGAACCACCACCGGGACTTTTTACTTGGTTGGCTGGCGCAGCTTTAATTATTGGGATTATACTATGCTGTTTATTTCCTATCTGGCCATCAGAATTACGCCAAGGTGCATATTATTTGACTATAACTGCTTCAGGACTTTTAGGTCTTTTACTTTTCGTAGGATTATTGCGTTTCTGTTTTTATTTGCTTGTCTGGTTATCTACTTTAGGTCAATACAGTTTTTGGATATTTCCTAATTATTTTGAAGATTGTGGTTTCTTCGAGTCATTTCGTCCATTGTATTCACTTAAACGTGCATCTGATGTTCTAGCACCATCAAATAAGAGAAGCAAGTCGAAAGTAAAGTCAATTAGTGATGTATCCACTATTAATTTCGACACGAGTAGTAGCAATACCAGTGTTGTTACTGGTAGTGATGCTAATATTGTCCAATTATTATGTACAAAATCCACAACAAAATCACCTGAGGAGGTTAAAGTGAGAAAGGTGTTAAAGAAAGATGTAATAATCAATGAATAAATATATTCCTATTTACTTCATTCTTTTTTCCTTATTTTCCCTTTCAATGTTATCATGGTAACTGTATTGCACTCTTATCATAGGTATGCTTTTTGCAACATTGTTCATCTATATTTTAACTTCATATTTCAGCTGAATAGATGTTTTTTGTAACAAAGTTTTCAAAATTACACTTGTGATATGTGTGCCGAAAATGAGTATTTTATCCCTTGTATGCGAATTGTTTAACATTATGGTTTAACATCGAATAAATGAAGGTTCAGTGGTTAGAATTTTCACTTTTTTGAGTCAGTTTATCTACTAGTTCCATATAATTCATTTTTTCCCACTGTCGATTTTGATTAAAGCATGAACAACGGTCGTGAAAAAAATAACAGGAATTCATTTATTAATGATTTTTTGTCTGCTTACATCATGAAAATATTAGTTACAACTACTTGAAACCAATGTACCTACTTCACATCATACTAACAAAGATCCATACAATAATGGCACTGTGTATGGAAGAATTATATAATGTTAAAGTTCATGGACATGGATATCTAAAAATTCGAGGGGAAAATATCTTAAAACACAGTAACAAGTTTTTACAAAGTAAAATTTGATATCGGAATTCACGTAATATCAACCGTAAACTTTGATACATTAATTAAGAATGAGTTAACCCCAAGGATGACATAAGAATAAAGAAAATATATTTATATATAAGAGCATAAAATATCACGTTGTTGAAGAGTGGAAAATACAACAATCCTGTCGAATATATCGGTTATTTCCTAAGGATTTCCACTTTATCGAAAGCGCTCAAACACCCTGGTACGGCCAAGGGTGGGAAGAGTCTGCTCTCACATGGCCGCGCGTATACAGCCACTTACAATAAAGTCCTCATTTATTCATTTAAACACATTAACATTGGTGAGAGGAGGCACCAAATAGCTATACGCGACATAAGTCATTCGACTTGTGTGAGGGTTGGAATACTGCCCGGGTGCCAAAACCGAAGCAGGTGGTTTCCTTAGGGGGCCACACCCGGAGCCTTCGAAATAATGGTCTGATCCATAATGCAGTGGAGCAACGTCAGGAGATGCAGTCCCATGGTAGCCGGTGACCAACGATTGGTTCACACGTCATTTGTTCCTTCAGGACCCTGGAGCCAATGTGCACCATTGGTTTGGAACCAGGGTTTTTCAACTCCCCTAAGTGGACTCTCCGTTTCTACCAACCCGGTTAATGCGCCAGACATTCGCTCATATAATAGACGGTGGGATAGAATGTAATACGTAGTTCAGGTTAACTTATTAATGATTAGTTGTCACGAGACAGCGATAAATCTTCTGATTGGATGTCTGAATCCGTTTCCCAATCTCCTAATAATCCAGGCTAACTCTACACGATAACCTGAACACGAGAGAAAAGGTACGAAATATGGTAAGGACACTACTCCAAAGTTTGTTTATGTACAGCAAGCTTAGGGCATTTCAGGTGGCCTTGGGCTTCGGGAATGTTCAAGAGCCCTACTTAAAATAGCAAGGTAGGTAATCATCCAGTCAGGAATGTGACATGACTACACTTTCTAGATCTTTCTGAGAGACTTCTGTTCAGTGCTGGTTGGATAAAATGTTTCTCAGAGTTTTTAGGGCCTCTGGGCTTTTTCGTAGGAATTTTCTGGGTCTCCTCTATAGACAGCTAATTGTATCCCATCTCTCCTATCAATATTCTTTGGATTTGCCCGTGTGTGTAGGGCTTCAGCTGTTGGTCTTTCTTTGTAAGAAATGAAACCTTTTTGGAAGATTAATGTGCCACTGAAGTCAATTGTATGGCCAGACTCTATTGAATCTAATGCTATAGTTGACTTGTTTTTTAGTTAGTTCTTCAGGTCTTTTGTGGATGTAGGAATGCGCTTTAAATAAAGTTTGAATTCTTTCATCCCGACCTTGACCTGCCGTAATCTCTCACCTATATATATATATATATATATATATATATATATATATATATATATATATATCGTCTTGCAGTCAGTACATTTGATTTCATATAAGCAACTTTGTTGTTGACCCTTTCTTATTGAATCTTTGATAACTAGTCTGGATCGAAAGAATCGTCTTATACTGTAGTGATTTAAGATCCTCCTGATCTCTTCTGAAGTTCCTTTACGATATGGGATCTTTCGCTTTATCTTCTTAGTGTTTCTTCTTAACTATTATTTTTATAAAGTCTCCAAGATAATTATTCATGATCAAAGTGGTGATGACTAAATTCGTTTCAGTTTCTTTGTCGCATAGTTCAGTGACGAGCTCTTGAAGTCTGTTTACCACATACTTGGTTACTGTCACCTTAGAGGAGTGCGCATTTATTGACTTGTAATCTATAAATTTCCCAGAATATGTTGGCTTCCTGAATATATTAGGTTTTTGACCAATCATTATGTTTCCTTTCAATCAAACAGTCCGGAAAAGGTAATTTTATGGTCAGCGGATCCCATATCCTTAGTGGATTCAATGTTTTCAGAAATACTTCTGACTTTTAAACAGTTTGTCTAGTCCATCTCGTTTTATGGTATCAAAAGTGCCATATACGTACCTCAACCACATTTTTGGTGAAACGCGACACTTTGATACTGCACTTCCAATGAATTAGTTAGCAACAATTGCAGAAAATGGTGATCCCATAGCTGCACCTGTTTGCCTGTACAAGTTTCCTCGAAAACCGAGAGTGGTTAGATGTAAGCTTAGATCCAGAGCTTTAGTAACGTCTGAGAGACCTGATGAGCATTACTGCTTTAGTTCACTGTCAGAATCCATGGGATTATACACAATATCTAAATCCTTCCTCATAGGAACATTGGTGAATGAAGAGTAAACATCAAAACCTATTAATCCATCTTCCGTATAGATAGCAACAATGATGTTTTTAAATTCACTAGGATTTTTTGTTCCAAATTTTATTTCGCTTTCGTATGGCTTAAGAATCTTGGCTAGGTATTTAAAAAGATTACACGTTGGTGAATTTGTATAATCAACTTTTGGTCTTAGTGGGAAACCTGTTTTATGGATTTTTAGTAACCCATAGAAAGGGCTGCAGCTTTTTGAATATAGAGAGAGCATAAAGAAGCTCCTAGTTTAGATTTTAGAGTCTAGCCATTACGTGGTTACTCGACTAGATTAGCAAAAAACGTTGCAACTTTTAAAACTATAACTGGGTATTTGAACATCACATATCTATTAAAAATAACTACTGAATATATGCATTCTCCCCCATGTTTTTACAGCGGATCTTAGACCATATAGTGAAAGCTGTTTAACAGACTAAGTACTTCTTTAATAGCTATCCCAATCGAATAATTTAGTTTGTTGTGGTGTTATTCTTTTATACTGTGTGTGAGCGTAAATATGACCCACTGAGATTGCCTATACTAGAAGGAAACAACTGTATAATGTCTCATGGTTTTCTATGGTCCATTTGATCCTAGTCTTAGTAGTGCTAATCCTCTTCAAACATCATCGGTTTTTAATGGTCAACATTATATCATTTTGGCACAAAATTTAGCAAGGTGATTTGCTTGCATATTTGCTGCTATAATAAATCAATAACATGCGCGTGAATTACGGATGTCTATCTTCTAGTACTTCTAAAATTCATCAATACGCATGATACAGAAATTCATTAAGAATCCTTGTGTAAAAGCAATAATATACAAACCGGATACAAGATGACTCATATAGGTGTTTATTATGACACCACTCGAATATACAAATTGGTTTATAGTATATATTTATGTATACGTATGGTTACCTACTTGTTTGTGCATATTTTAATGGTGATACTCGAGGTAGCAAATAATTCTTGGCAGGTATTCAATCTTTATCATTGTACGTTTGTCCTGGAAATGGAAACAAAATTGTAGCGTTGAAGCAAATGAAAGTTATGCAAATAAGCTAACATTCTTACGGAATTAAATGTTACCTTACTTATAAACTGGAATGTAATAATAGTAATTAATATATATAATGTAAAGTTTAATATTGAGGTTCTTTTTCTAATCCCATTTGTCCCTTGAGTGTAATCACCAACAAATCAAGTAACGTTTCCTGATAAAAGTTTTGTAATTATGTAAAAATGTCTAACAATTAATCATGGGTATTTACTAGTGTTATAAGTTTTATTCTCATGTAGGTATCATTACCAAGGTTTGATTTGATAATTTCGAATAAATCGAGCATTAGGTAGATTGTTATAAATAAATAATAATATCTGACCTAATTCATATTATTCTACATATTACATAATTTCCTATTTGTATTCCATTATTTTTTCACCTCATGTTGACCATACTTATTCTGAACATTTATCGTAAAATTTCATTTCACTTATAAACTGATTCAAGTTAATACTTTATATTGGTCAGCCCCTAAATTAACGATCTGAATTGATTTTATATAACAAACAGCAATCCTTAATTCACATATTACAATTTCCAAATGATGTTAATTTGGATTTATAATTGTAGAATCTGATGAGAAATTATTGAAAAGAATATTCTTCGCTCATACAATTGTGTTTTTATAAACAATATATTTGTAATATTCCAGTGAGTAGAAAAATTAGATTTTCTGACGTTTCGTGACTTAGTGTAAACCACTTCTTCAGAGAATAAATAACCAAATTACACTAAGTCACGAAACGTCAGAAAATTTAATTTTTCTACTCATTGGGATATTACAAATATATTATTTATTCAGTTTTACTCTCAGTTTAGAAGAAATTAATACAGGTAATTCTATGGTCATACTGTCAGATTATTTCAAACTGAGGTAGATGATACTCACGAAATAAAATATCAAATAATTTTAATACTGTAATCTAATACCCATGGTGTAGAATTGACCAGTATAAATCAGTTATCACTGAAACTGTAAAATACCCAACATTAATTGCATCCTGTCTAAAAATTAAGATTTGATATAGTTCAATAGGAATCGAATCAACATAAAACTAGCACAGAAGTAATTTCTTCGATTGCGGCCCCAAAAAATTTGATAGGATGCTATTTGCTCCTATAATATAGTTTTCAGATAAATTCAGAATTCAAGACATTTCATTAGAGAGTAGGTTGATTATTGCAAAAACTATATAATGATAAAAAGAGATTGGATATATAATTCATAAGATCTAATATCTTCATGATGGACTTGAAA